ACTGGTGAATTCTACCTTTGTTTTTCTGGAAGTGCACTCATTTCATCGACATTTTTGAAGGATAGTTTTGCTGAATATTAAATTAGTATTTGATAGTTACTTCCAGCTCTTCAAATACGTCATCCCGCCACCTTCTAGCCTCCTGGCTTCTGATGAGGAGTTTGTACAGAAGTCACTTCCTCCTTGTCTTCAGGACTCTGTGTGTGGACAGGGGCGTTATGTGTTCAGTCATGGATTTGTTTTTTTCCTACTGGAGACTCACTCAGCATCTTGTATAAATTGATGTTTTTTTTTTTTAAATCAAAGTCTCTTATCATTTTTTCCACTCTCTTTTTTCTTTCTTTGCTTTCCTTGTAAGAATCCAATTATAGGGCTGAGATATAGCTCAGTGGCATAAGCACTTGCCTGGCAAGGGTGACGTCCTGAGGTTTGATTCTTGGTACAAAAAAAAAAGAATCTGATCATACATAAGCTGGTGTGCTTCACCGGGTACCTCGGTCTCTGAAGCTCTGTTCATTTTTTCTTTATGTTTTTTTTATCTTTCTACGTTTCATAATGGATAATCCATTCAACCTACATACATTCATGTTTGTTGATTTTTTTTTTTTTTCCTGCCTGTTGCAACCTACTGGTGACTGTACTTTAGTTACTGTGTTTGCAACTTCAGAATTACTATTGGATTCTCTTTATATAATGTCTACCATTTTATCAATGTGTTCTGTGTTGCTAAACATCATCTTTCTATCTGCCCTTGGTTCTTTTTTTTTTTTTTTTTTTTTTTGTCTTTTTCGTTTTTATCGGTACCAGGGATTGAACTCACGACGGCCTGCTTGCAAGGCAGGCGCTTATGCCGCTGAGCTAAATCCCCAGCCCCTCTGCCCTTGGTTCTTTAGTCTTGGTTTTACTTTAGTTCTTCAGGCATATTTATAATAGCTATTTAAAGTTTTTGTCTGGAAATCCAATGTCTGGAATTCCTCAGCAGGTTCTAGTGATTGCTTCTTTCCTGTGCACTTTCTTGTTTCTGTGCATGCTTCATACTTTAGTGTGTGTGTGTGTAAAACTGGACATTTTAAAGAATAATGTGGTAACTCTGAAAATTATATTTATCTCCCGACAAAGGATCTGCTGGACTTGTTTTGTTTTCATGACTTTTGAACTAACTCAGTAAGGTCTATATCCTTTGTGATGTATGACATTGAAGTCTGCTCAGGGAACTTAGTGATAAGCCAAGATTAGACATAAGCCTCTCCACCTGAAACCAGTAAGTCTTCCCATCCATGCTGAGGGCTTGAGGGTTGGCACACTCTGATTTCAGCCAGAAGGTGATAGCTCTGCCTTTGGCTTCACTTTCTGATGGTGCAGAATCTCAACCTCAATTTAACGTGAGTATTTAACATATAATTAGGACACTCCCAAGGCAGAGTACAGCTCCCGGCATGTACAAAGTCCTACACACGTGCATGGCCACCTAATCCCCAGTAAGGCTGTGGCTTTCCAAAACGCTTACAGGGGCCTCCTTCCTCAGCTTTCTGGGGTTTAGGTTAGCCCAGTTTTTGATCCAAGGATTACCCTCTGCCTCAGGCAGCTGTATGTGAATCACTTATCTCTGAGACTTTTCTAGCAAATTGCCCTGAGGAAAAAGCCTTTTCACACTAAGCAAGCTACAATCAAGTAAGATAAAGAGCATCTTGCAAGTCAGGTCTTCCTGGAAGCCACCGGACAGGTCAAGTGACAATTCTCTGGAAATGAGGCTTTGAAGGAACCCCCACCCCCAATCTCCCTCGTCTTCTTTTTTCCAGGCTGAGGCTTTTCACTTTCTTTGTGCACTGCTGGTTTTGAAGGATGCAGCAGAGATAGAAGAGGGAGCAGAAATAGGGCAAGTTAAAACAGTACAAAGCTCACTATTTGTGCCTAGATCTAACCATTTTCTTGAATAAATTCTGCTCAAATTGCTGAAGCTTTTGTAATTTCTAGAATTGTGGGGGAAAAAAACCTTAATTCTGACATTTTGGGCCAAGTTTTTCCTTGCTCAATGGGGGATGCAAAGTTTTCAGACTGGTTTTAATTAATGCATCTTTTCCAAAATGAATTGAGTTTTTAAAAAGACACCACTGTTGATATTTCTGAGTAGTCACACAGGTCGAGGTCTTAGATTCTATAAACAGCAATTATTCTACAAACATGCAACCAAACTGGACAGAGTACAAATTTTAGACACTCAAAGATTGCTGTAACTTTTCAGAAGGCAGAGTCAGTGTTAGGCAGGCTTCTTGTTACACACCTGTATCTCGGATTACTATGGGAAACTAAACCTAGTATCCTTAGCATGGGTAGCAAAGACAATCTGCACTCTAAAAACCCCAGCAGCCCTTGTAATTCTTGTAGATACATAAAGGCATGTGTTATGGTTTGAGAACTGGTGATCAACTTAACGCCAGCTGGATTACATCAGCATGCATTGAGAGAAGATATTCCACCTGAGGAGGGTTGCCAGGATAAATAGGTGGAGAAGAAGGGAGGTGTCGAGAGGGTTGAGGCCTTAAGGAGGCATTGTGGGTTCTCCTACGAGTTGCTGTCTGAGCTGTTGGTTCTCCTGGAGAAGCTCTGGTCTTCACATTGAACATTGCTTCCTGGCTCCAGAGGGGAAGACATGTGCTGCTTGGTCTCCAGGATGAACTCGTCACGCTGCTTCCTGGCACATACCCAACTGCACAGCTTGTCGTTGGAGGAGCTCAGGGCCTCCGTGTCGCTGAGGATGGCTGTGGTGCCTTTCAGGATAGCCCTGGTCTTTGTTGTGAGTATGACTTCTCGGTTCCAGCATAGAACCCTCATCCCACTAGCACAGCTCCTTCATTCTGCTGGCATAGACTTTCTGGCTTCCACTGCTGACCCTTGGGTCTTCCCGGCACGGATCCGTAAAAGAGACTGGTATGAGTCCTTCTTGTGGGCTCTGGGCCTCCAGTTGGACTCGTGGGAGGCATTGTCCTGAGCTGTGGGTTTTTATCTGGACTCATGTGGGACACTGCCATGGAGTTTAGGCTCTTGACTAAATAATCTATGTCTTTGGTGTTGCAGATAGATTTCCTGCACTCTCCTGTGTTAACTTCCGGTGACCATTATACAAATATTATAAACTCCATGTCCTGATCTGAATTGTTCTTTGTGTACAACCCCTGACTACAACATCATCTCCAAAAGCTCCACCCTCTGCCCAGCCACCTAGGCTGTCAGTACTTTCCTGTCTCTGAAGGGCAAGGGGCCATTCAGCTGGAGCTTCAAGGAGCACATACAGGGCACCCTCTCTTCCTAACGGCCACTTGGCTATGATCAATCCCTTTCCTTGAGACACCTGCACCTCTTTCAGATCTATTAGCTGGTGATGCGGTGAGCACTTCCTGGGTAGGGGCATGGAGATGGCAAAAAGAAGGCTGTTTTCAAGTGTACGGAGTTTATAAAAACGCCCTCTAAAGGCAGGGCCAGAACCACGGGGTTCATGGAGAAATGAGGCAGAGCCTCATTAGCAGCAAGGAGGAGTGAATGAAAGTCACCAAAATAACAGCAAAACAAAATGGTCAGCGTTATGTAAAACAACTTCTAAATGAGATTATATATGACAGAGTGTTTATGAGTCTATGAAATGAATTTCCATCTCCATATTTAATTACATCACATTGCATTAGTGCTGGTCCAGTTAAGAATCCATTTTCATAAATCATCTGAATAAAATATTTTGATTTCTGCTGAGGTGATGTATTGCATTTAAGTTTTTTATAGTAGAAATCAGAATGTCAAATTCTTCAATTCAGGACAGAGAAATCTAACTTTAAGATTAATAATTTTAAAAGCTGGCTTCCAGAGTTCCCAAAGATTATGAAATGGTATATATTTTAAGAAAAATTACATGCAGAACCTGAAAGCCAACTGGTACCAAAGGCTTTTTTCCTAAACATTTTAATTTATAATACTTAATGTGCAGCAAATGAGAGACGGGCATTCAACCAAGTAGCGTGTGAAAGGTCTTAGTGAATGCTGGGTATGCTGATGGGGGGGTGTCCAGTGTAACCCCTTCTATTCCCGAAGAGGGGTCAGATAGCAAGTGAGTAACTTCACATTCTCTATTTGCCAGAGTGAGTCCTCCACCACCACTGAAAACAATTAAAGAGTGGTAAAAATATACATGAATTGAAGAGACAGATTTCACAGTGTTACACAGCCAAGACTTGGAGTCTGATAACAATAAGGCATCACGAAGAACCCTGAGAGGCAGCTCACTAAAATGGGCCCCATCTTAACCACCTTCTTATTGCCGAAACAAAATCCCTGGTACCCAAGAGTTTGGCTTGTTTTCAGTCCACAGTCAGCTGGCTCAGGGGCATGGCGGGAGGTTCTGGTAGAGGGCAGCTGCTCACATATTGTGGTCGGGAAGCAGAGACTGAGGAGACCCTCTTCTGGTCACACCCAGTGACCTGCCCTTCCCGGTCCAGGCCCTCTCTCTTAACCCCGCAGCACATTTTTCTGTGGTTGCATCTGTGAATTAATCCACTGATCAGTATAGTACCCGCATGATCCATTTAGTGTCCAAACACTGAGTACATGAGAGTCTGGGGGGACATTCTTGATCAAAACCTACACCATATATAAGTGGATTTTAAAACTTACCACTAACCAACCACACATGGCTCACTGACACAAACTTACCTTGAACAGACTATACTTTTCAGGTAGATCACTTTTTCCCCCCACTATAACTACTGTATGAAGTATTTTTCTACCCAGAATAATGGTTTCTAACAAAACTACATACAGAGTTGGGGTGCGTAGCTCAGTGGTAAGGACATTCTCCTAGCAAGCACTAGGCCCTGGTTTGATCCCCAGTACTGGCAAAAAGAGAAAGAAAGAATGAGAGAGAGAAAAAAAAAGAAAGAGAAGAAGAGGAGGAGGAGGAGGGAGGAAGAAGAAAAGCAGAGAAAGGAGAGAAAAAAGAAAGAAAAAAGGAAACAGGCCTTAAATTTGTTTTTTTGCAAAAACTTTGGACACAATTCAAATACACAGCTTGTAAGCAAGTTTTCTCTAGCCAAGAACACCCCTTTATAGTATCAAAAGTTTAAGAATCACATCAGTGAACCTCCCACAAAATTTCCAGAATGAATAGCACCTGACGGTGTTTTCAGTTCCATTTCTCATCAGTCAAGCCCAGATGCTGCGCCCCAGGATTAAAGTGGAGCCTGCCCAGAGGCTGACTGTCCATCCAGCACACTGCAGGTGTTCAACAGTTTATCACAGGCAGAGAGAGGACGCCAGGAGTAGAAACATCTTTATAAAACTTCCAACGAGTTAACAGTCAGACCTTATCACAACAAGAATTCCTGAGTCTCAGGTTAGCACATTTCATAGCTCCATTTGAAGACAGGATGGAAGAAGGTGGAACAGAAAGATGTAGCAATATATTTACTGTCACTTTAGTGACAGGTAGCGGTCACTTAGTCCTGAAGCACATCTGGGAAGTTTCACGCCATATTTGTCACCCACCAACTCATATACGTGGAGAGGTTATATCAAAACTTCAGTGATTCCAAAGGATGAAAGAAGCGGTCCATTCGAATACAGATCTTGCGTTTCTATTACACGCTGAGCCTTTGAAATGCTAAGACTGAGCAGACCAAGTTAGGAAAGGGCCGGGAGGGAGAGCAGTGTGACACAGCTGGAACACATGGGGACTTTCTGCCCACACCAGTCTGTGCGGATAGTCTGCTTTCCGGGCAGCAGGTGGTGCAGATGTAGAGATATCACACATCTGTCGGTAACTGTGTGGGATTTTTGGCACTGTTAGAGCCTAGCCCTAGTTACAGAGTTAGGGCAGCTAACAAAATGCCACCGACCACATTTTTGACATCTGAACGTTTTTGAAAATAATTGTTTCTACCAAGCAACCCTCCTTGGTTCTTCTTTCAGTCCTGCCTCATATAAAACTGCGTGACTGAAAGTTTTTAAAAAGTACTTCTTTACAAGAATCACTGCACAGCAAGCCGACGAACATCTGGCAGCAAAGTCACACTGAAATGCCACCCTTTTAAAGGAGGAACAAATATGTGACTCTTCCAAGAGGAACATGTCTCTCTGGAGGGGGAGCGTCACAGGCTGTTTATGGACTTTTTGTTTCTTGCAAAATCCCAAGGCTGAACATGGTCCTGCTTTCTCTGTATTTTCTCTGTCCTAGCCAGGCAACAGTATGTTGCATAAGAACCAAAATGAAGACATAAATAAACCGATATGCACAGGCTGTACCAAGAATCACGCTACCAAAAACTAGTAGCAGAAGTAGCCAGTTTTTCACATGCTTATGGTATTTCAGTCAGCATAAACTGAATCATAAGCCCATCTAACAAGAACAGGGCAGGCCTTATCTTGGCATGAGTTTTCTCCCCTTTTCTTATGATGTAGAAAATACTTGAATCTCAAAAGAAAGGGATCAGATCTTTTAAAGAATCAAGTATTCTTCAAATTACTCGTGCATTAAAAAAAGTCTCAGGCAAATCCAAAAATGCAAAACTTAGTCTTCTCTAATCTTTTAAAATAAGAGTGTATTTCATGATCATCATTTTTGTTTTTAAAATGTCTCTCCAGAGCCTCTTAATACGCTGCAAATCTTGTAAACAAGATTGTCCTTTCCAGAGGGTGTGTGTCCCTGTGTCCCGGGATCTCGCTCTGCAGCCAGCTCAGATGCCCCACCCAGCTATGCAAGAGGACTGAGGCCTCGGGTTTGCTGAAATGCTAAAATCTGACAAGTTTCTACTGGAGAAACCACAGAGAGTAATCTCTCCAGGGAATAATTCTCTGGGGAAAGAAAGAGAAGAAGCGTATCACCGACGGTGTGTTGCTCAGAAGTTAATGTGGGGATATTGTCAAATTATAGTTCTTCAGGGAACTGCAGCTCGCTTTCAATTAGATGTGGGGAGGCTCGTCAAACTAAACAGTTTACGTATGAGACACGCACAAAAAGAAAAACACAGAAGACAAAACGTCCTTAATTTGGGAGCAGGATGTATTCTGACTTGGGAGAAGGGTGAAGGCATTTTAGCTGCAACACCCCATCACGATACTTCCAGAGAGTTCTCATGCCCCCGTGGTGCACAGGACAGGATGGCAGGGGCGATTCCGGTCTGCATGACCCTCCTGGTCCCGCCATACGCAGTCCTGACAGGCAGGGAGGTGGCTGCAGTGTCAGGCTGGCAGTGTTCCTGAGGCTCATGAGTGTTTATCAACTCAGCAGGTCAAAAGTCTGCAGACACTGTGTGGAACAGCAGTAAGCCACAAAACTAACCGTTGTCCTCCTGCAAGGGGAGAGGGGGGAAAGAACACTTTTTATTAGCTCAGGATTAAGCCTGTGAGGCTGTGCTTGGTGGTGCATGCCTGTAATACCAGCACGCTGGGAGGCTGAAGCAAAAGCATCACAAGTTAAAGCTCAGCCTGGGCACTTTAGGGGCTTGGTGAGACCGTGTCTTGAAAAAAATAAAGAGAGGTAGGGATACACTTGAGTGCCAAGCAACTGGGTATGCAGTTTAGCACCAAGGCCGTGGGTTCAATCACCAGTAAAAGACACACACACACACACACACACACACACACACACACACACACAGAGTCTCTGAGCTAGGCATGATGATATGCATCTATAATCCCAGTGCTCTAGGAGTTTGAGTAGAAGGATTACAAATTCTAGTTCAGCTTGGTCAATTCAGCAAGGCCCTGTTTTAAAATACAAAATGAAAATAAAAAAGGGTTGCTGGGGACATAGTGCCACACGTTATAATCCCGCACTCTGGGAGGCTGAGTCAGGTGGATTTCAAGTTTAGGCTCAGCCTGAACAGTTTAGCAACTTAATCTTAAGAGTAAAAACTTTAAAAAAAAAAAAAAAAAAAAGAGGGCTGGGTGCAGCTCAGTGTGAAGGCCGTGGGTTCATTCCCCACTATCTCTACTTCTTCAAAAAAATCAAGTCTCTGGATTTCTTCCAGTGGGGACTTTCTTTGTTAAAATCAACGATTTAGGTATGGGTAACAGACTGCAGTACAAAAATACAAATTTCCTTTTCAGCCTGAGCACCAAAATGAGGTGAGCATGTGGCTGCAGGCGTGTGCTCACCTTATTAGTGGTGTTCGGGTGACATCCACCCCTAACACAGCTGCAAGGGGAAAATAAGCTTTCTCCAAATCCTGTTCTGAATTCTGCTTAGTGGAACCCACAGTGCAATCAGAGTCTGAAGTACATTCTACAAATCATCCAACAGAAAATGTTACCAATTCAGCTGAAACACATATATACTAGAGAGCTTAAATAACATAATGTACCCTACAAATGTGTTTGTGTAGATTGTTTGTGAAAATAACTTCAGAATCTGATAATACAGTCCAAGGGACTCCCTGCAGACGAGAACAGTGTGAATCCCTTTCAAACTCCAGCCTGGGAGCCTTTGCAGGGCCAGGTGTGAGCTGCCCAGGGCCTCTGATGCACTCTGGACAGCTCCGGCTTTGTATGCCCTGGATTTCTACCAACAGTGCATCCACGAGGGGAAAATAATCTACTAATGTTTCCTAGTTTCCCACCACTCAATCTAGTTTCTGGCTTTCTCTGTCACCCAGGAAGGTGACCCAGAAGCTGCTTGCTGCTGACTGGTAGCATGCTATGGAGTCATGATTATTCAAAGTATCACACAGGATGCCAATGGGCAGCTGGGCACTGGGACAGCAAGTGGCTGGGGGAGTCAATAGCTGAGACATCATGGTGAATTCCAAGTCTATGACTATGTGGAAGAGACTCGAGAGGAAGAGAAAGACAGAAAGAAAAAGAGAGAGAGTGAGAGAGGATAATGGCTTATGTCTAGATTTCCCCCCAAAGCCTCATGCAGTCATAGGTAGGACTTCCCTGAGGTGGCTGGATCTAGAGGATCTGATGCTGGGATTAAGGGTGTGTGGTTACTAAATTAGTCCACTGATTGACTGGCATAGCTCTGGGAAGAATTAAGTGTGCCCTACCCTGGGTGTGAGCGCTGCCTGCTCTAAGGATAAGACAGAAGAGGGTTCCTGCTTGCTCTTCGCGGCTTGCTGCCCACGTGGGAGCGTGCTGCCTTCAGCCTGCCATGAACCGTTTCTCTGCAATGCCCCTCTGTACACCACCCTGCCTTGCAGCTAGACAACTATGAACTGAAACCTCTACTAACTGTGAGATGAAATAAACCTTTTTTGGTTTATTTAGGTGTCCGGCATTTTGTCTCAGCAATAAGAAAAATAACTAAGACAGAAAACAAGAAGTGAAATTCAGGACCCACCATCACCATACTCATCGTCTCTAGGCTAAAGGGAGCAGAACTGCAGCATGCACGAGCGATCACTGTCAAGGGTGCTCCTGGAAGAGCTAATGTTCGCACCGATGAGTCACACGAACTTGGCAGATTCTATTAGCAGCAAGCCAGGAGGAACTTAGTCAATGAGAACAAATGGAAAGTTGGATCAGGCCAATGGGGTAAGTCTGCCTAGGCCTGAGGATTTGCTGGGCCACTCTAGGGAATCGATAACTGTGGCTGTGGTTCAGTGGGGTTTACGGGCCATGAAAGGAGAGGCCAGAACTCCCCTGCCCACTTTAGAAGGAGAAGAGCAAAGGCAGAGAGAAATGGGAACACTGCAGCTCGCTAAACCCAAAGTAAGCAGGAGGGTAGAGAGACAGAAGACAGCATAGAATTAAAAACATCACTAGGACTGAGATGGATACGACTAATAAGCTGTCGTAAGACCAATAAAGATAAAAAAGAAGACACAAATAAATACTGGAAATGAACTATAGATCCTTCAGCTATTAAAAAGATAGAAGGGAATCATATGCTCAATATTACAATCATAGATTTGTCAGCATAGAAGAAAGAGACCAATTTCTTGGAAAACACAAACTACCAAAACTCAACCTTAACATAAATAAAATGAAATGAGTAACTCAACAGTCCTATAACCATTGAAGAAATTAATTTGTAATTTAAAAAAAGAACAAGAAATTTCCATTCCCAAATGGAGAATCTTAACAACCATTTAAAGAAGAATCAAAATGAATTTTTATATACTTTCCTTTAGAACATTGAATATGAAGACACTTTTCAACTCATTTTATGAGGCCAGTATTACCCTGATTCCAAAGTCAGACAAAAAGACAAAAGCAGAAAAGTATAGACTAGTATCTTTCATGTGTATAAATGAAGGAATATGCAATAAAGTATAAACAAATTAAATATAAAGGTATAAAAAGAATCATGATCAACTGACAATCTTTGCAGGGTGTGCAAGGCTGGCTCAGTATCTGACAACCAAAAACAGGCTAATGAAGAAAAATCATATGATCATATACTCTACTCATGCACTAAAAACCCAACATATTAAGATGCCACCTCTCTCCAATCGATCTGTATAGGCTAAATGCAATTCTTTCCAAAAATCCAAAAAATTTTTCTGGAGACAAAATTATACTAAAACTTAATGAAAAAGTACATCTGAGAATAGCTAAAACAACTTTTAAAGGGAAGACTACAGTAGAAGGAGCTTTCTCAGAAATCAGGGTCAATTATTGAGCTACAGAAATCAGGAGACTGACACTGGCTGAGCAACAGATACAGATTAACCAAGCAGCACAAAGAGCCCGAGCAGCTTCACCATCTTGTAATGGGCAAAGGTTTCTTAGGACAAAATTTTTTATAAAGTTAAAATGGATAATTTTGACTTGATGAAAATGAAAACTTGGCTTTCAAATGATACCTTTCAAAAAAGTGAAAAGACCAGAATGACTTTTTAAAATATTGGGTTTTTTTCCTGGTGTTGTAGGAATTGAACCAGGGCCTCACACATGCTAGACAAGTACTCAACCACTGAGCTACCTCCCCAGCCCTTTAAAAACTTTTTATTTTGAGGCAGGGTCTTGTTAGGTTGCCCTCCGCCAAGCCCCAAACTTACAAACCTACCTGAGTAGCTGGGATTATAGACATGCTGCCATACTTGGCTTGAAATTGTTTTTTGTAATTTAAGAAATTATGTAAATTGTCACTTATTCATTCTTGTTTTTAAAAAGCTAAAGCTGGTAAGAATATGAGTTCAGGTCACTTTTATATTCTCATCTGTGTAAATCACAATTGAAACGAAGTGCAGCCAGAAAGTGACCTTAAATGGTTAATTCCTTTTGGAGGATTAGCTCACAAAATGTAACTCTTTGTTTTTTTTTAAAGATAATTATGCAAATCACTCATAAAAGGGATACATTTACTACAACTGTTAAGTTTTGCTTTTTGGTTTTTCGTTTTTAAAGCAAAACTTCTGAGTAAAGCAAACTACATCCATAAAGATATGGGATTCGTTTTCACTGAGCATAAAGCCCTTTGGATCATCATTCTCTGCTTGGCAATGCTGCGGGGTGGGGAGGGTGACCTGAAGGTGTCACAGCTGTGCTAGGGAAGAAATCCCTAGGCTGGTCTGTCTTGCTTTTGGGAGACCATCTAATGACAGGCCACACTTGCCTGTAGTTACAACAGCACTGTCACATCTTGCCTTAAGAATGAATTTGTCACTCAAGTTCCTTAACATCTATAACTGAGGCAGGCGCCAGACACCTAAAATTTTGAGGGTGAAACTTTGAATTAAGCAAAGAAAAAGATGTCGATAAATTCTACACAGAACACCAGACAGTACACTTGTGGCTTTAGAATCTAAGCATATTCACTGGTGAGGCAGAAGAAAGAGCATTTGAGCTTGGTTTTAAAATCCAGAAATACTATCATTCCTTAAAAGAACAAATCACAATGTTGTTGGCACATATTGGAGCCCACAAATATCACAAGAAATGTGGGATTTTATCCTGTAAATGTGTTTCCTGATTAAAAATAAAAAGCATATCTTTGACTCATACAGACATTGGAGCCAAAAGAAAAATAATATTTATAAGGCAGAGCTGATCAGATGAAATCCTGAGTCTGTGTACATATTAACTTGTGAAAGAAGCATCTAACATAACATGTTGCATCTGCTGGTTCCATTTATGCCAATAGTGACTTTCACATAGCGAGATGCTTTATATAGAGTCAGGATTAAATATCACACACTGGCTTCTTTATCCATCCCTGCCCCAGACTCCTGGGAATAAAATATTTGTGGGAAAAGAATTAAGTGATTTGGTTATTGCAAAATTCTCAAAGCATGGCACAGTCGATGGTCAATATAATGATTTGATAAAGATGAAATGGGAATAACTTCAATCTTCAGAAGAGCATTCTACTTGTGGGAAACACAGAAGTCACCTTAAGAGGGTGTCAGCTGAACAGGCTGCTGCTAGAAGAAGTACAAACCTCCCAGAGGAGTATGGAAATGATTTCAGTACTACTGATGCTATTTGGTTTCATATTAGAGAGCAACATGCACAAAAATACAAGGGCAAGGAAATTAAGCATTTCATGGATAACTAAATTAGATAAGAATTACACAGAAGAGTTCATTAAAAAATAAAGCGCTAGTGGGGGAGGGAGGAGAAAGGATATTACATTGATCTGAAAGGTGAAGCCAACACCGGGCAGTTCTGACAAGGTCCAAGAACGCAGACGTCGGAGGGCTCATGGAATCACTGTGGCCCAGAGATCCAGAACTCCTGAAAGCAAGCACCAGGTTATGTAAACCCAAGCTCGGGCCTGCCGGGAGCCCACATGACATGTCCTGCCCCCGGGCCCTGCCTGCACAGAACCTTGAGCGTTTCTGCTGACGAGGAGAACAGAGAATGTGTTCTTCTGACCTATTTGGAAGGACTTGAAAGGATTTCTTACAGAAACCACTGGTTTAATGCTTTAATAATTAAAATATTTTTTAAATCAATAGCAATTTGTTATAAAATTTAACATTTCTTGAAGGAAACCACTGTTATTTTGGAGTGTGAGTTCTTTAACATACAAAATTATTTAAATATATGAGTGTGCACATACGTATGTATATATATACACACACATACACACATATACACATAAATGTTCTTGCCTATAATTGACAAAAATCAGGTTGCATTACACATGCTTTTATGTGGCTAAGATAATTAATCAAAAATATTTGGTTATAACAACGTTTCATTTTCTTTTTTAACCTGTAAAGATTTTAGGCAGCACTTTTTAAAAAACATCTCTAAACATACATATTTTTCAAATTGTATTTTGGAGACTCCTCACTGAACGTATAGAATTGAAGCACCGAGTCTCCCTGGCCGTGGCGCACGTGCGATTTGTGCCCTACAGCTCTGCATGCAGAAGCTCAGTCCTAGCGGGGCAGCAGAACCTGAGGTGACACCGCAGGGGGCAGCTGCTTCCAATAGAAGGAGGCGGTTATAAAGGAACAAGGCGGCCCTTCCTGATCCCCTGGTTCCTGTCCCACATGGGGTCTCTTCCACATGTCCTCCCAGCTCTGCAAAACTTGTATCATAAGGACCACAGCCAAGGAGATTCCCACAACCGTACTCTTGAATTTCTAGACCTGGAGCTAAACTAACCTCTTGTTATAAAGTATTTAAGTATTTAGCCTTGGATATTTTGTTATAGAAACACAAAACAAACTAAGACACCTCCCTACCTGACAGCCTTATAATTTTCAAGTCCTCCCTTCTAAGCTAACCATAGTGAAAAGCTAGATCTACATTCTTTCAAGTTTTTCACTGCACATACTGAAAAAGAAACATAAATATATACATACACACACATATATATATTATACATATATATATATATATATATAGAGAGAGAGAGAGAGGGATATAGATGTAGATATATACACATATATTTCAAAAGTTTCTTATTCAGACTGTTAAAGAATATTTAATTTTATATTTATGGCTATTTTTGCAAAACTTCCTCATGTTATACAGTGATCCAATTAGCAGCTAGTTGTATAGTATTGTAGCTTAAACAAGGATGTGGAGCCAGTCTGCTAGAATTCAAATCCCAGCTCTGCAGTTTCCAATCTTCCTGTGCCTCAGTTTCCCTTGTAAAATGACAGGAATAAATGCCGCAATACTATCTGTCACACAATACCGACAGAAGACAAGACTCAACTTCCATGCTAGGTCTCTGGACTCCTCAGACTGCGGACTTCTCTCATTGAATGTCAGGGCCTAACTGCATGGAAGCAGAGATGTCATCATGACAAGACCCAAATGCACCCAAGAGTATGGGGAGCACCCCTGGGACTTTGTAGCATCTGTAGCTGCCATCTTAAAATACCCTAAGGGATTTGAGTAAGCCCTTTAAGATGCCCAGGGTGATTAATTTTCTGTGTCAACTTGGTGAAGCTGTGCTGTCCAAGTGTTTAGTCCGGTTGTTGCTGTGAAGGATTTTTTTTTTTGGGTACCGGGGATTGAACTCATGATCGTGTGCTTGCCAGGCAGGCACTTACACCACTGAGCTAAATTCCAAGCAGGATTATTTTTTGCAGTTGTATTTAATGTTTAAACCAGCAGACTCTGTGTAAAGCCGATTATCTACTGTAGTGTGGGTGGGCCTCATCTAACTAGTAGAAGGCCTTCACAAGCAAGGGGTGCGGGGCATTCTTTCTAACACCGCCTCAGTCTCCCTCCTGCCATGTGCTGCAGAGTTCTGGCTCAGTGCTGCAATCCCACTGCTTACCTGAGCTTCTACACTGCCAGTCTATCCCACGGGTACGAACTTGCCAGCCTGTGAGACCACAGGAGCCAGCTCCTAACACTCAGCCAGCGATTCCCTCTTTCTCTCAGCCTGGAGGGAAATGAAGAGACTCTGCTGCAGGAAAGCAGCCAGCAAACGGGCAGCGGCTTCGAGCTTGGGCAGCAGAAGAAGGGCAAGAACCTGCGGCACCTGATTTTAAGAGCCTGTACTGCCTGGCATGACCGTAGACAGAAATACACAAAGAGCCAGGGGAGAGGTCACAAAGGGCACAGCTGCAGAAAACATTCCATTTTCAGAGAGAACACACACACTGTCAGGGACAGAATGATAAAATCGGAGTGTGAGCGACACTTCTGCAAGGGCTTGGGTGGAAACGTGGCAGAGGGGAGCAGATCGCCGTGCCCTCCTGGGTGGCACCGAGATCTCCTGCCGGCGAGATTCCCAAGACAGGTGTTGGAGGCACGGCCCGCCTTGTGCTTGCTGCTTACAGTAAAATGCAGGGAGACAGGGACACCCTGAGGGAAAGTTAAGTAAAAGGAATCCAAAACTGAAAGATCTGGAAACTTCCCAAGCGTTCACGCTGTGACAAATGAGCACGGATAGCTGGGGAGATACCGAGGGCGAGGCCAAGCAGCCACTGATAGAGCTTAGGCAAGGGACTGCAGAGCCAGCCTGTCGCTGCAGCAAAAATACTAACGTGGACTGCACAGGACGGAGACGGGACGAGATGTACAAAGGCCTTCAGACATCGGCACTCTCCGGGTAGCGGGGGGCCAATGGAGCCCTTCAGCCTCAAACCCAAAGTACCCCACAGAAAGGGGCAATGCAACCTGCGGCTGGGCCCCTCCTTAGTCCCAGAGCTCCGGGCAGTCCCCTGGGTGCCCACAGACAGCACTGGGGTTTCTGTGCTGTAGGTCACCAGCCTACAGTGTTTTGGTATGACAACCTGAGCTAACTGGCAGAGACCTTATTTGGAATCTGCCCTTGTGCAGGGATGGGACTTAATCAAGCATGATTATAAAAATGGAGGCCAGGGTATAGCTCAGTGGCACAGAGTCTGCCTGGCAAGCATGAGGTCATGAGTTCGATTCCCGGTATCAAAATAAATAAATAAATAAAATAAAAACAGGACACTTGGACAGCAAGACATGCAGAGGGTGGATGACACGCAGATACACGGACAGGGAGGAGCCCTCATAAGCCACAGGGAGGCCTCCAACAGACTCTTCCCTCAGAGGACACTGGCCCTGTTGAAACCTACACTTCAAACTTTTCAGCATCCAGAATCGTAAGAAAATCATTCTCTGCGCCACCTGGCTCGTGGCACTTTGTCGTGGATACCTATCAAAGTGCTACCATGCTTCCGAAAATCTCTGCGCAGTCTGATTCCCTGCTGGGAAATGTGGATCTTTGGAGACTCATATATGTATTATAGATATACAAGGAAAGCCAGGTGCATATTACTGTGCTAATAAATAATACTTTAGGTTGAGGCTGTTCATTTTAACAAACGATTTGTGAATGAAACATTACTATGCCTCTAAGATCAAAAATCATGGATTTACAAGTCACTCTTCCTTGATGCATATATTTGAGGTTTGCATATTTATTGTTATGTAAAATACTGTAATTTCTTTTTACATCATCCTGTATTAAATTTAGGATAAAGCCAACACTACCATGAAACTTGGTATTTTAGAAGAATATTCAATATGGTCCCTTTTAAAATAATGCAGATGTCCACATGGATTGAGATACTAGCTGACACAATGTGTTATTTTATGACAAGCAATGCATACAGAGCTAAATAAATTAGAAAACGACAAAGTAGTATTAGCAAGCTTTTTAGAGTATATGATGTCAAAAATACTGGTTTTATGTTCAATAATAAGGTACTAGAGATTCAAGTATTTGGGTTTCAGTTACAAAAGAAAGTACTTTAAAGAAGATGGTAGGAAACTGAAGTCGATGCTTTTAGTTCGGTCTCCATGGCAACGTGGGAGCGAGCACAGTCTGGGGATGAAACGAGAGCCACCAATTCTCCGCCTCAGACCCGAGCATTAGCCCACCACAGAAAGTCCTGTTTAGATCTTGGCACTCGTCTCTGCCTTACACACTGCACTTTGGCTCCACTCCACCAAAGGGCAAACTTGATACTTACTCCCTTAACTCGGGCTTATGTTCTGAAACTATGTAAGCTTATTCACACTGCCCAGGGGCAGGGCAATGAGTGGCAGTAACTGGAAAATGGAAATGCTGATTAAGTTGCCCACCTTTCATATAAAGTAGCCCAACATGACTTCACTGGAGGGATCTACTTCATTTTCATACATAATTACGATGATAAAAAAGAAGATTTTCAGTAACAGGCATTTAGAAGTTGATGGGCTGCTTGTGAGCATTCTGCTGCACACTGGTTTCTTTTTCACGTTTGCAGTGAGAAATGCTTTCATTTGGGTACAATAGGAAATTGTACCATCACAAGGTTTGAGGACTTTAACTGCTGTTTAGTGAATCAGTCAAGACTTTCCTCTGATGACTTTAATATGAAGATCGTTTGCTAAAAACAACACAACGAAAATAAGGAACTAAGTCTCTAAACCATGGAAATAGCTACCATTTTATCACAGCTCCTCACTTATTTAGTATTTATTACACCTCCCTGGGCTCCTGCCATGGTGACTTTATCCACGCCTCCCAGTGACTGCGCAGTGGATCTTATCTGTCAACAACATGAAGCTCAGGAATCTTCAGTGATTTGTCCCAAGTCTCTCAGAGCAGGAGTCAAAATCAAAGCCTGTGCCCTTGGTCAGCAGGATACTGTTCCTCACAGATGTGTCTATTTCATTTGTTAGTTTTGCATGTGTCATAATACTCTTGGAAATCAACTCAGTCCTATTTATTCTAATGTAAATGCAACTCAATCAACTTTGGCTATCTGACCACTAAGATTTAAAGCAGTCTAATTAGGTTTTGTTCCCTTGGTTCCTGTTTGTAACTCCCTCCCGGAAGGTGGCTCTCGGAAACTCTGATCTTCCCCTGCTTGTCTACAGTGAATGACTGTCTGGCTGTAGGTTGAAAGTTCCACCTCATTACAGAGAGGTCCTGCGCATCTCCCACAGCAGGACTGCTGCACAGAGCGAGCTCAGGGAATGCGCTCCCACCAAAGGACTCACAGGGGCTTTCCTCAGCCTCCTGGCAGTCACGTCTATGTAATGAAATCTTCATTGAACCCCAAAAGGACAGAGTTTAGAAAGTTTTGCACAGCTAAACATAGGGAGGTTCCTGGAGGGCGGTGCCTCAGAATTAGCATGTGCGCTCCAAAACCCCTCTCACATCTCAGCCCGTGCTTCATTCGGTCTGTGTCCTGTGTAACACCCTTTCTAATAAACTGATTAAAGTCTTTCCTTTGGTTGCCAAGAAGGAGTTGTGAGGACCTCAATTTACACTGCTTGGGTACAAGCACAATTAAGTACAATCTGGGGCTTGCAATTGGCATCTGAAGTGTCCGTGGGGGCAGTCAAGTGGCCTGTGATCATTATCCTGATACGTCAGCTTCACTGGATTAAGAAACGCCTGTCAGGTCAATAAAGCAAGCTCCTGGATATGTGGCGGTGGCCTGGCTGCGTGGCCTTGTGTATCCTTTCTCCCTGGGGCGGTTTCCCTGCTCTGCTATGAACTGAGCAGTTTGGCTCTGTGGCGCCCTTCTGCATGGAGCCTGCTTGCCATGGACTGACTCCCCTGAAACTCTGATCTCAAACAAACCTTTCTTCTTTGAAATTGTGGGTCCAGAGCATTGTGTTTCAGTGATGGCAACGCTGACTGACACAGGGCCTGAGCCCTCAATCTTGGATCTAGGTAGAAAGTGTCAGAACAGAACTGGGTCAAGGATAGCCAGGAGTGCACTGCTGCAGAACTGCCTGCTAGCTTGATGCAGGGAAGAAACCCTGGCTCATACGCCAAGAGTGACCTGCATGGTGAATGCACAGTAAGCACAGCCTGCGTTTGAGTGTGGGGTTTGTTTGTTTTTCCCAGCAAATTAGAAAGGTTCAGAGTGGGGCTCTACAAGCAGGAAACATTATAAAGCATAGAAAGTTGAAATGGGAACTGAAAACATACCAAATAGGATTATCCAGAGCGAGGAAAAGACAAACACAGTCGTTGGAAAGAGCAGGCGGAGAAGGGAAGGCAGCTCCTTGGGCTGAAAGTCTGTTATGTGCCAGGTGTGCTTCGCTGGCTGTCCTCAGGGCCCTGCCCTGTGGGCTGCCCTGTCCCCATTTCAGGCTCAGAGGAGCTTAGCTGGGTGCTCCAGCGCTCTCAGCAGGAGCTGGGCTGCTGGATGCAGAGGGCATGCTCTGAATACCGTCCCACACTGCCCACTGTGCAGGGCGGAGGAAATGGAATGGGGAAGGGGGCTCGGGGAAGGGCAGTGAGGGTCGATCCCCAGCACCAAAAGAACACAGAGAAGCAGGAGGAAGGTGAGGAGGAGGAAGAGGAGAGAACGGAAGAGGAGGAAAGAGAACAAAATGAAAGAAAGGAACTCTTGGGAATGTTTCCATAACAATGCTCGTGATGGACACTTTGGTACCACGAAGGGGAGGCCAGCGTCAGTTACCTGGGACACTCACACTGGACACCATTTCTGAAGTGTGGGTAAAGGACTACACTTCCTTTTTAGCTTTAAAAATTTAAACCTAACAAAAATCCTACAGTTAGAAAATCCATGCTCTAAATTGTGTATGTGGGATTTCTCATTGCCTGTTTTATCATCTTTTTTTTACACTATGGTACCAGTGTTGAGGTTTCTGCTTAGTGAACATTCTTAGCAAATTCAAAGCATTATGTCAAGAAGCAGAGTGGCCCAAGAAAGCCATTTGGAAGGGCTGGAAACTGAAAACACAAACACCACGCATGCCCAGACACCTCACACACCTTCAGCCGGCAACGCCAGTTAAATAGGACTGTTCCCTCCGTACTGTACAAATTATTATTTAAAGATTACTCTGAACAAGAGATCAGGGAGACATTCCCACAAAGAATGAGCTATTCTAAATTGCATGGGTAATATAATTGCTCTGAATTCACCCAGAACATTAATTAATAAAGAGAAATCCAGGGTTCCTGTGATGCTGAGTACGTATTTGTTCTGTTTAGCTGCATCGCAGGAAGCAGACTGTGCCCCTTCCGGGCTGCTCACTCACAGCCTCCCCTCCTCTCCATGCTGCATGTGTGCCCAGCTCTAAAACCTGGTGCCCACTTAGGCGTGATTACCCCTGGTGCAGCCCGGCCATCGGTGTCTCTCTCAAGGGGAAGAGCTTGGGGTAGACGATGGTAAACATAGGCTCACTACACCGGTGACAGTGCCCCAGGGGGCAGTGCAGCAGCTCCAGGAGGCTTCTGGGTAATGAGATGGGAGACAGGAAGTTCAAATCTGGAACACAAGAGAAAAACCAGGCCTGTGCGTGAAAATCAGGCTTTCTGAAACCAAACTGCTTAAAATACTTCTCTTTGTTACCAAACAAGTTCAGTTAAACCACTTTACACTGAAAATTCTGTTATCTGATCGGTATTGAATAAAAATCTAGCATTATTAGGAAATGAAAGATGTTTTCTACATTTTTGAGTGTAAAAGAAAATGAAAACCCACTCTTTTTTTAAAAAAAGCCAGGAGTGGTTCTGAGGGAAAGGCAAGGGAAGAATAAGATCAAATAATCTTTAAGAACAAGGATCAAAAAGGCATCAATTTACTACGGAGGGTTTCGCAAGCTTTTGTAAGAGTCCAGAACCAAAAGAGGACTGGGACCAGAGACTGTCGCTTTCATTAAGTTTCCTGACTGTACTGGGCATCCACTCAGTCAAGCACCAATCAAGGATAAATTATGTTTACTGAAAAGAATGAAACACGGGCTACCAAAGAGAATGAAAAATAATAAAACTGAGTTTTCCCTGTCGCATTCCCATGAGCTGTTATTAATCAAAACAGGGAGCGATCCTGCTCAGGCTAATCTGAGCCACACAAAAGAGATGGTGAAAGCCACACATTTGTCCTCGGTTTCCATATGGATGATAAGCAGCCAACAGAGGAAGAAACGTTCATAATGAAGTGAAAAACAAGTATTACCAGCTCGTCTCTGCAAAGTTGTATCTGCCCAAACTCACCAGTTACTGTTTAGAAAAATGTACTTTATTCATAAGTCGACAAATAAAATGTTTGATTTAGTTTTTTAAAAAATGTTAATTTTGTACGAGACATACATGGAAGGCTAAATTTTTTTATGGTTTTATTTTTTATATAAAAACGAAACATTTAGCAGCTTTAAAAACACTTGAAATGTGCTTTCCTTATTACTGTTGCCCCCTTTTTTGGTGGCAGGGACTGAATCCAGGGCCTCCCATACGCTAAGGCTATGCTCCACCACTGCAGGCACTGCAGAAGTGTACCCTGCAGAACCTATAAATCTAGGCACTGTCAGGTCCCTTCCAAAAGAGCTGGCATGCTGTGATCATACCGCTAACGGCCCCTCATACATATTTCTTCCCTGTGCATGTCTCAGATGTAAGGAGACAGCAAGGCAAAAACCTGCTCTGCTGAGATATTCAACTTTGCTTCAAGGATTAAGACCCTCCTAAATATTTCCCTGCCACCAGCCTTTATTGCACACGCATACTCCCCAACCCCAGCTAGCTGCCCCGCTTTAGACGTGGAGTAACTCTGATCTGCTTTCATAGCTGAAGAGCATATTTTAATGAGTGCCTCGCTGTGTTTGCAGTGGGTGCTGAAGGGATCAGTGCTGAGAAAATAATACAACTTTTTTCTTATAAGAAAAGTGTCAGAGCCTGGAACTTAGCTCCGTGGCATAAGTGCCTGGCTGGCAAACCCAAGGTCGTGAGTTTGATCCCTGGTTCCAAAACAAGAAAAGTATCAGCTGGCGAGATCATATGTGCCTATAGTCCAGGCTTCTGTGGACACTGAGTCTGTGGCAGGAGCACCTGAGCCCAGGACTGACAGTCTTAAGACAAAATAACTGCCCCCCCAAAAAAGACCGCAAGATAATGTAGAAATATTTTACTGCCACTGAACTATACACTTAAAAATAACCAAAATGGTATATTTTGTGTTATGTATATTTTACAATAAAAAAATAGATTTTTACAAGAGGAAAGCCGAAACATAGCATGAGACGCATCTGTTCGTTCCCCGAATGAAAGGGCGGAGGAAGTACCTTTGCGGGAGCGGTGGCAGGTGTGATAGAGCCGCCTCATGGCCAGCTCCTGCAGGGGCAGCACGCGGTCGCGCTCTGTGCCAATGGCCTTCACCTCTGCTGGCAGGAAGACGGTCAGCTGCCCCGATGAAAAAGAGAGCAGCTTCACCTCTGACACCTGGATGGGGGCCCCACAGCTGCAGGAAGACACATCCGCATGGCCTGAGTGACAAGGGCCAGCCTGGGCGATCAGCACAATGCACGTCTGAAAATCTACAACGCGCGTCTGAAAATCTACAACGCTGCTGAATTGCTGGAATTCTTTTCAAAGTACACAGATTCTGTCCTGGGCTCTGCAGTCACACTTTGTTCAGAAATCTAAGCTGGGCTGGGTTTGGTGGTGCACGCCTGTAATCCCAGCACTCAGGAGGCTGAGGCAGGAAGACTGTGAGTTTGAGCTAGCCTGGACTACACAGGAAGTCCAAGCCCACCTGTACTGTGTAGAGAGACTCTGACTCCAAAACCGAAGCAAGCAAATAAAACTCATCAGCAAGAACACAGCTAGCTCGTGGTGAGGCCCAGTCATTTCCAGCAAGGACACCTCTGAACCCCTCTTCCAAGAATCCACACTGTTTGCTTTGTAAGTTCTGTTTCCCCTCCTTTCACTACCCTGGGCTAGTTTATGTCTGCAGAACCTCTCACAATTAAAAATTCATCATTTGTACCTCTTTTATGCCAAACAAGATACTGAGATTAAGCCAAGATGACCCCTTCTCTCAGGAGAGTAACTGCGCTGTTCTAGTGGGGTCAGGGGGGATGCAGTCAAGGGAGATTTCACAGACAGCCAGTTCCAACAAGGGAGTAACGGCAGGGGACCTGTGCGGCAGGAGCCACACCCTAAAGAACAAGGCTGTTTCTGGGGGGCAGCCTGGGCCAGAAAAGGGACACTGGACAGGGAAAGTGGGAGGAGGAAGCTGGGAATATGAAGCGATGTTTGTTCGCCCTAAGTGGAAGGGAAGACTCTTGGATGGTTCTTTGAGAACTAACTGGTCACAATATGGAGGACCGGAAGACACTGGTAGCCAAGAGGCAACGGAGACCATAAACACGGGAGGAAACAGGATTGGAGAAGGTCCTGCAAGGGAGAGTGCGAGGTCCTTAGAAGAGGGTGGAGCAGCCTCGGGGGTAAAAGCCAGTGGTTTTCTCTGTCTGGGCCTAAGGCAAGTAATTTACAACTCCCAACTGTTTGGGGATTAATCTGTTTAAAACACAAATGTCATTAAATTTCACAGGCAGAAATCATACATGAGTGGGCTTCACAAATTCCACTTAATAACATCTTTTTTGAAATAAAGAAATTGTATTGATTCGACCATAAGAGCTCTCTGGGTTTTAGCCAGGAGTGTGTTTTTCCATAGGTTATTTCAAAACAATCTAATACTGTAAACCTGAATTGTAAGAATAATGTATGACAATTATTATGAGTTAATAAAGAAAGTGAAAGGAGGAAAAAAGGGAAAAGAAAAAAGATATAAATTTGAATATATATACATAAGATAGCTAAAATTATTGTACTACCAATTCTATTAGTTGTTGGAACAGAACAGTTAATACTTATAGGATTAATTAGATCAATTTTGCACGCCTGCATCTGCTAATCTGAGCAACTCTTGAAGATAATTATGCAAAATAACAACCATTGTTAAATTCCTATCTTCTTATTTTGAAAGCCTGTACTGTTATTGTTTGGGGATTTGCGTGTGTGTGTTTGTCTCTTTTGTTTCCTGTTTTTATTGTCTGTTTTTCGTTTGTTCTTTCCCTCTTAAAATAAAAATAATAATAAAGAAACTGAAGATAAAGTGCACATTTTCCCAAGTTTCTCTCTTCCAACAATTACCATTTTGGTTTTGGTCATTCTCTTTCCTCTACACTCTACACTCAACCAAAAATGTGGTGACTGTTTTTCTCCCTAGACTCTTTACTGTAATGGGCTTTTGTTCAAGTAATCATTCCAGCCAATCAGATTTAGAGAAATCTTTGTAATGCCCAAGTGACACTGCATAGTATAGACAAATATAATATATTAACTTATTTGTATGTTCATCTCCTTTTTCAGTTTTTTGTTCTATTCTACAGACATCACAATAAATGTTACGTCCACTCTTGTGCATGACTGTTTGCATTACTCTAAGATAAAATGCCCACAATGAGAACTGTTGGCCGTGAAAACTGAAAAATTTAAATGTCTGAGGTCTTTCTAAAAAGGTTGTGGGAAAGTATTCATTTCCCCAGAACTGGGTGTTAGCAACCAGTTCAATCTTCTGCCAATCTAATTAACAGAAATGGCTGCTCATCGTGGCTGCTGAGTTTTATCGCCTTTTGACATATTTATGGCCATTTGCATTTTCTTTCTTGAAAACTGTCCATCCACATCCTTTGCCTAATTTTCTACTGAATTAAAAAAATCAATTCTTAGGAATTTCCAAGTTGGCAGAAACAATCCTTTGTCATATGTACTGAAGTATTTATTTCCAAAGTCGTATAATTTGCATATGGTGCTTTTTACCATCCATCCAGCAGTTTTCTTTTTCCTCCTGTTTGAAATGTCAAATCCATCCACTATTTCCTTCAAGGCATCTAACTTTTCTGATTTCTTAAACAGAGTAGACCTAATTTGAGGACTGTATATATACTCGCCAAACATTTCTTCTAGTGTAATTATACTATTATTTTTACATGCAGGTGTTTTTATCTATCCTTTTTGTTTTTTGGTGTGTAAAACTGGACTCAAAATTTTTTCTTCTGAATGGACAACACTATTGGCGGCTTTATTGAATAAAGCTCTCATTTACCTCTGCTTTGAAATGCCCACATTATTATATAAAGTTCCCGAATTCCTTTGAAAGAGCTTTTGGCGTCCCTGACTGCTCAGTGATGTGTTTGTTTAACCCGGTGTCATCTTTCATTCTTTTCATTACAACAGCTTTACAGAACATTCCACCAACTGATAAGTCTGCGCTGTTGGATTTTTTCCCCCCGATTCTCATGTAAGTTACTCAGTTTCAACTTTGCAGTCCTTTGATATAAATATCCCCCAAACCTTCTTGGGATTCAGATTGGAATTAACATAGATTTATATGTTAATTTGGGTGAGACAGGTCTTCCAACATAAATACAAAATTAACCGTTGCCATTTCGTAGATATCTTTTGTTACATGAAATTTCCTTCCATTCCTAGTTCGGTGAAAGGTTTTTTTTTAATCAATAAATTAGGAATGGCTGTTGGATGTGTTTCCTTTGGAGTAAACAGGCAGAGAAAGTAGAGGTATAAGACAGCGCAGGCCTCAGCAGCACACGCTAAAAGGAAGTGAGGCGAGTGAGAAGGAAGCTAAAGTCCTTTATACACTCCCGGGACCGCTTGGGGGGTCATACACCCCGGGGCCAGGAGATGGCAGAGAACTGGCCCTGCGGACGGACCTTTGTATATGTTCACCCCATAGGCCAGCGTTTACGGCAACAGCGTCATCTGGTAAATGCAATTCTGGCGGCCGTCTTATTTTCTGCATCACACTAGCAAGGGTACGGTGCCCAGATACTTAGTCAGATACCAGTCTGGAGGGCATTTAAATCAGCAGACTTTGCCTAGCCTAGAGCCCCCTCTGCAGCCCAGGTGGGCCTCATCCCATCAGTCACGGGCCTTAAAAACGAAGACCAAGGCTCTCTGCGGGACACAGAGCTCAGGCTCTGGGCTGCCTTTCCACTAAGTCTGGGTCCTCCTGGGTCTCAGCCTGCTGGCTTACTCTGCACATTTTAATTCTGCCAGCTACTGTGTGAGCTGAAACCGATGGATACACACAGTAAAATTATATTATCTGTTTCTGAACTTTATAGCCACATTGTGGTACAAGAACTCTGAACAAAACTGTAAAATCGTGAAAATGTACTTTGAGATGTAAGCCATTCAAGGCCACTCACTTCGTACTCTGACTTAGCAGCCACTGCTTCTGAGCCCAACTTTGGGTGTACTGAACGTGGACAGTGCCCAAAGAACCCAACGTGGAATACTCAAGAAAGCTCGAGAAAACTGAAAGCCAGATTCTTCCAAGTGCTTCTACTGTATCCAATAATTAAAAAGACAGATGTCTGATTTACCAAATGAAAGCCTCACATCACAAGGAAATGTGTACTACTCTATGGAAAATTTAATTTCCCTTTGAGAATTCTTTTCGCAGGCATTTCTACTTTTCACCACTGGTTAGAAAAAGTTGATTAATTTTAAGATCCATTTATAAAATGCTTTCTGTGCTTCACTGGAGAGCGAGCTACAGCTGTGTAGATAGGCTGCATGGAAGCCTTAGCACAGGCTTTACAATTGGCAGTTCTTTGGGCCGCCTCTGCCCTGGCTCTGCTCTCCAAGAGTCAGCAACTCAAGCATAAAGTCATAGCTCTGGACCACAACGAGGAGAGAGCAACCAGGACACAGGAGTACAAACAGGGAGGAGACCACACTGCTACACACCCAGCTGTCTGACCTCAGACAGTTAATCTTATGGGCATCTGTTTCTTCATTTTTAAAATGAGGGTAATCGTGGGGGACCACCTGGACTCTCCTTGAAAAAAAAGCAATTATCTCCATTTTGGCTAAACCTGGCCCTATCTCCATGCATTGATATGTACAGAGCTGGCCAGGACTTCTCCCTAACCTTTCAATTGGCTCTAAGCAACACACATCAGTCTAGCCAGGAGCTGCTAAGTGGTCTTTGAAGTAAGGCAACAGGTCAGTGTTGACAGGTCAGTGTTTCCCAAAAAACATGTGTGAGCCAGGTGGGAGGGAGAGCCACACTCCACGCTGTCAGCTGAGCCTCAAGATAAGAGCCTATGACTTCCTAGGGCATAAAAGATTACACATCAAAGCTGAAGCACCGGCCCCAAAACATTAGACACTACCTTGAATCTGTTCTGTAGGATACTCTTTCTGCAAACCCTTCTCTTGCATATTGCAGAGGTGATTTCTGGCCTCTTACCCAGCCCAGCTCACAGCCCTCACTACCTCCTGCCATTCATCCTCAGGCCACTCCCTTCTTCACCAATAAATAAAACCTGGGGCCCTGGGTTAGGGCCTTTGTCCTGGGTAGCCACCACCCCAGCTGGACCCCTTTGGCTCCCCACAACTAGAGATATGCCTTGGCATCTTTATTCTTGCTGTGGGTTGCACTGGAAGTGGTGGATTTGGAATTAACTGGCTAGAATTCCAGCTCTGTGAATACTCAGGGCACACAGAATTAAACCAGAGTGCCTGGTAACTGGAAGAAAACTTCCGAGGGGGAAGCAGTTGGAAATGTACCTGCCTTGAAAACTGAGGGCCACTCACCTAAAACACATAACGAGGTGACTTGTAGGTAAGCAGAGCCCTGACAGGTTTCAGTTCACAGTGAAATGGAAAAAGTGCCAGCTCTCCATTATTCAACTGTGGCACTTAGATTTTCAGTGCCACAGTTTTTTCAGATTAGGCGCCTGGGAAGTTACCGAATAAAGATTTGCATACGGAACCCCCAAATGAGTTGTTAAAATTAAAAATGTTAGTACCTTTTAGTAATACAGATAATTTATAGCAAGTATTGCCCAATTTCCTTTGGAATCAATATTTTCAGAACTATCATTCAACTTCCAGACCAAAATAAGCTACAGGGTTCTCACTTTCCTGCTGAGACTTCACTACATATACACTTCATAACGTGACTTAGCAAATTAATTTGTAAGCATGTTACACTCAGCATTTCACCCGACAATGTGTTCAAATGCAGCGTAAATTGTCTTTTCCAGAGTACCCACAGCAATCTTTTATCCTTCAAAAAGTACATATGTAATCTGTATGCACGCTCATGTGGAAAATGCTACATTTCTCCTTTTTAGCAAACTATTTTTTTTTTTCAGTTTAGCGGAACAGGAAAGAGGCAGGGTGGACACGGAGAAGGAAGGAAGGAGCCGCGTCCTCTAGGAGGCACAGATCCTGCCCTGTGTGCAGGTCCTGACTGGGCAGAGTTTCCTCCGGCTAGATTTTCTTCTCTCTCGCTCGTGTTTGTTTTGCCTTCATTCTGGAAGAACACTTTCCTGGATACGGAGTTCTGCTTTGACTGTCTTTTTCTTTAGCACGTAAGACAGGCCGCTCAGCTGTCTCCCGGCCTCTGTGGCCTCTGCTGAGCTGACCGGCTGCCCAGGTGCTCCTCTGTGAGGTGCTTTGAGTTGCTTTCACCATTTCCTTTCGTTATTTGGTTTTCAGCCGCAGCTTCTGTGCTCAGACTGTGAGGGTTCACTGAGCGCCTGGAGCATGGAAATTTACGTCTCCCATCAAATTTGGGGACATCTGAGATACCATTTCTTTTTCTTCTTCCTGTCTGTTTCTATTCTCGTGGGATGCCACTCACACCAGTCAGTGTGTGTTATACTGTCTGGCGGGACGCTGACATCACATTTGTGTTTGTTATTTATCTTTCTCTGTGCCTCTCAGATGGAATCATCTCTCCTCATCTACCTTCAAAGTTCACTGACTTTCTATTTACCCCAGTAAGCCTCATTGATTTTTCAATCCTAAAATTTTCCTTTTTAAAAGTTTCTATTAATTTGTCTTTTCGCTGATTACAAACCTATTTTTCTTCACTGAGAAAAGTTCTAACAGAGTCTTAAAGTTTTAAACTTTTGTCTTGAGTCAGATGCGGTGGTACGTGCCTGCAATCCCAGAGTTTAGAGGCTGAGGCAGGAAGATGTGGATTAGCCTGAGCTGCATTGTTCATCTTTCTCTGAAACAGATGGATGACCCACCCACCCCTGCCTCAGATCTGTGTTTTCTACCTCCAACATCTTGGGTTATCTCAGGTTGGCCTCTGCTGATCTTTTCTCTTTCTTTCTTTCTTTCTTTCTTTCTTTCTTTCTTTCTAATGCCATGTAATATGGGGCACTGAATCCTGGACATTGTGAAAATTATACTGTGGAGACGATGGACTCTGCTGTACTCCTCTGACCCGCGAAAGGAAGTGTTCATACTTTTGTTTTAGCAACTTTGTCTCCTGTGTGACAGCTTAAATCCCTTCAGCTCTGTTATATGCAGCCAGGCTACTCTGGGCTGCCCCAAGAAGAGCGGTCCAGATATCTATGATTGATTTATGGGCAGTTTTAACCTCCCAGTGCCCTAAATGGACTGTGATCTAAAGGCCATTTTTAGTCTACTGGTTTAACTCAGAATACAGAATGCATTTCTCATACAAACAATTCTATTATCTTGAGTGGTTATATTAACAAACCATTAGAAAGTCGCTTAACCAACTGCTCCCAAATCCTGCTATAATTTGCTCTTTTACACAAGAAAAAAGCAATGTAAGTGCTTGTCCTCCCCACCCTTATAATCAGATAACTGGAGAAATAACTCTGGTGTGGGATCATTTTTACAACTAAGTTCTTCTGAATACACAAATAGGCCAAGTACCACTCTCTGAATCCTGACCAGGACAGACTTCTCTTTCTGGGTATAATGTAGCACAGCTGAAGATTTTCATTCCTGTGGCAAGACCAAGAAAAACCCACAGGAAATAAAAACTGCACCTTTCCGTGGAGCTAGCAAGGAGCGTGGATGTGAGGAAGCTGTGATGGCCAGTCCAAGAGGGCTGACCCAGGCTGGCGGAGTGGACGGTGTGTGCCTTTCGGGTGAATCACAGAAGTCAGTCTCCCCATGCTACATGTCTGTCTCCCCACCGCTCTTGGGGTGGTCACTGTTTGCATTACAGTTACTTTTGTCAGACCCAAGATGCACACTTCCTAGGCCTCAGATACACGCAGTCCCCTTCCCCTCCTTTGCTCTCCTCCGCCCTGGGCTGAGGCAGGAAGCGCCACCACTTTGACTTGGCACCACAGCTGTCCTGTTTCATGTATTCAACAGGTAGGCAGAAGGACAAGGACCCTTAATGTTTTCCACTAGGGCTTCATTCAGCATTACCACGAAAATCCTGAACACATTTTCCATAGAAGTGCCACTGAAGAAGTACCACTTTTGTACTCAGGAGGCTGAGGCAGGAGGATCCTTGCGTGTCCAAGACCAGCTTAAGCTACGAAGTTAGCTCAAGGCCAGCCTGAACTGCATAGCAAGACCCTGTCTCACAAAGACAAATTTAAAAAAGTATTACTTTTGGAGTACAAAATAGGTTAAAAACCTTATAATGGGCTCACTTAGGAATGTAATGAATAGAATTAAAAATGCATTCTGAGTTTTGCTTAAACCAACAGACTAAAAATGCCTTTTGGATCAGAGTCCATTTGCAAGAGGGGTTACATACAGCCCCAAAACTACTAATATTAGAAATCTGGTTATTTCATACTGTCTTCATAATTTTAATATTAACAATCAAAACACAAATTATTAACTAATACTTTGTATATTTTCCCATACTATTTATTTCCTCAAAGATTTGAAGCTTTTATGAAATTCATTAGTACTGCTACCAGACACCAACTCAAAGATGAAGAACTGTCTTTCTTCTCAACACCAGTAGAACTGTCTGGTAGTCAATAACAGCCATATAAAAGCGGGTCATGGTGACGCACACCTGTAACCCTAGCACTTGGGAGGCTGAGGCAGAGAGCCTGTCACAACTTTGAGGATAGTCTGCGCCACATAATCTCAAAGCCAGCCTGACCTCCACAGTGAGACCCTGTTTCAAGAAAACAAAATCCACATATAAACAGCAAAGCAGAAGGTTCTCTATCTTAAATAAAAGAGGCTCCTTAACTGTTCAGTGCAGTCTCGGAGGGTTTGGGACTGAGGAAAGTGTATCACAATGACTGGAACACGTCACTCACCACTCGGAAGACTCAGGCTGTCATAAAAATTCTTTAAAAAGGTGCTGGGATTATTGACTGTGTGGGAGCACAGCTGTGGCAAAATCCGCTGCCGAAAAATCACGAGCTGAAAGCCTACCACACGTGCTCCTATCAGTGCTTCACAGAAGGCTCTGGGGGAATCTCAGCTTGGGTTTCATCAGCCTCCACAGGCGCTGAACGCGGTGAGGGCTTTCCCAAAATAACACATGTCTAGTTTTTCCTAAGGGAAGGCCACGACTCCTAGGACAGCCTCTCTGGAGCGATCGTGGCTCTCTGCCCGCGCCCTGGAGCCAGGCCAGCAGGGGAATAGCTGTCCTGGATGCATGCGCTTCCTGTCATCCTGGTTCTCGCCAGAACAAGCAACATGAGCCAGGTTATGCAAGATCCTGGGGCGAAGTCTGAGTCGGGTGCTAAGGAGCCTCAGAGATGATGCTCGGGGCCTGACATGGGGGGAGCAGGGCCAGTAACCTGCAGAACCCGGGAGAAGAGCGGTCCTCTCAATCTCAGGCCATCCTGAGGGTCACTTGAGGGTGGCTGTCACCCTGCTGTTGAATGAATAGCTGAAGCCACCTTCCTAAAAGCCTCAAAAGGAAAGCCTGCTGCTGCTCTGAGAATAACAGCCATCATCTCCCATGGACCGACATACCTGTTTTGGTTACCAGAATCATTCTTCGTATTGAGTGACTATCTCAAATGTTGAGTTTTAAATAGTTCCAGCTGGTAAAATTCTAACTACTAGGGTTGTTACTCTAGGGAAATAGTCCTTATGGCCCAGTTCAGACAAAAATTGATACCTCTCCTTTCTGTCACCGATAACAGTACCTTTCTAAGGGCAAATGTGACAGTGTCTCAGTGTATCAAATCATCACACCATCAACAAATACATACAATTTTATCTGTCAAGTATCCCTTGATAAAACTGGAAAGATAAGGCTGTTTATTTCTATGGCAAAAAAAAAAAAAGTATGTGTGAATTCATTTCTCCTTTGAGTAGAAAAAAAAATAAACGTGCTGACTGAACCTACAGTTTTCTGACTGAATCCAACATGCAATATTCATCATTACCTGCTCACAATCTTAGATCTTCAGGATAGTCGGTTTAGCACGTCAAGGCAAACGCTAAACTGAACCGCATTATCCACAGCACTCGGTGGATTTTTCAGTCTAACATGTGAAGTCAGCCTTACCCACTGCACCCGATGACTTTGTTATACAGATAGGATGGCAGCCCTTTCAGATGAATGTTGTTATCCACATACACGTACTGTAGTTCTCGAGATCGACCTAGATCTGGAATAGAAAGAAAAGCGCTGTCATTCCTTTCAGTGGGCACGACGGCCCTGTGAAATGGCCTGGCTTCGAAAATTTCTGGGCTGGAAGAAAAATGTTGTTGGTTTAAGTCTGACTGTAGAATGATGTGGGCTGCAATATTCGATTGTGTGTGCGTCCGAAAATGTGGCTGGGGAAACTCTACTTAACTAACGTAGGCTTGGTTTCTTGAACTGTTAGATAAAGTAACTAGGATGAGAATATTATCTTTCCACGTAAAGATTCTTTGACATCTTCTAGGCCATTGTAAGCCAAGGAGAAGTTTGCTGTGGGTGACTGACTGTCAGTTTTCAACATGGAAAAGGTTGTACAAAGGAAGTTGATAGCTCGACCTAAGCCAGACCACTTCTGCCTGTTGGTGACAATTCCTTACTTGGCCAAACTTTAGTCAGGCCCCTGAACCTTCTGGTAGGTTCATCTGTGTACTTCCTTGTAAAATCCAGTTTTAACAAAGAACCCCGCCATATCATTTAGCAAGAAACTCGCTGCCCCATGGCTGATCACCCTCTTATTTCACCATCTCTTAGGTGATGTCTGATCTCCTGGGCCCGTCTGCAGCAAGAATCTTGTTAGGTTCATTAAGCCAGAATTCCCTCTCTCCTCTTAGTAACCTTCCACCCACAGACTCCCACCAGCCTGCTCTTTGACTATGATCTGTATGCTGAGCTGACCCAATCTCTCTCCCCCACAGCAAGACTCCATCGCAGAGTTCCTGTACCTGTCTCAATGGTTGTTAAGAAAGTCTATCTTACTGTGCTCTAAAGTATCACTGCATATTTGTGTTTAAAAAAAAAAATCTATGTGTCAAGATTTCCTATCAAGATTGGAAGGAGGTCAGGGAGGGCTGGACTTTAGCAGCCAAGCAGATGTGGGAATGGGCCCAGATGCCTTGTAGCTATTCGGTAGGCACTATCCAATCACAGTCCTCGAAGAGGGGTGAAGACGGGGTTGACAATGCCAAGGTCAGTGAGCAGGGGCTGGAATGGGAGTAGAGGAGACAGGGATGTGCGACAGAAACAGGATGCTGGACCCCAGAGATGGCAGGGCAACCAGGAGGCAGAGGCTGGAAGACGGCTCAGTAAGAAAACGCGATCCCACATCCCGAGGGTCACCTCCAGTCAGTACAGCACACAGACCAAAGACTCAGACCAGCCCTGCCATGCGCACCACAATTTGTGGCCAAGGCTGGCTTCCACTCCTAGCACGCACTGAACAGGGCTGTTTGTCTTCACTGTCAGAGGCGTACAGCAGAGTTCTGAGCAGCTTTGCTGACCCTCTGCTTCTGATGCTCTTGGAAGCAAAAGCCTCATCTCTGAAAGGCTGTCTAGAGTCCTACTTGTAAACGTAGGAAATAGGCTGAAGGAGATCTCTTCTTCCTAGACTTGTGGTGGTCTAGGAAAGACAAAAGCTCAAGCACTGATAAGTGAGGAAGTTCTTGGACATGCTTACTGTCCAAAAGATAAGCCATTTACCATTAAGGACATTTTAGGCACCGTGCTAGGGCTTGGGGATACAGATAGGAGCCTGGCATTAATGGATGGGAACACAGACATGCAAAGCAGTAAGTGCAATATGACACGATCATTGCCATTAGAGAGGCTTGTGAGCAGTCTACAGCCCTCAGATGGGTCCAACGCAAAGTGACAGGAGGGTACTACAAGGCTGAGGTGAGGAAAGACCCCTGGGGGAGCAGGGAGGGAAGGGTTAACCTCACCCCTCTTCTCTACTCCTAGTCCTATTCCAACAATCCTTCCTGGGACCAGCACTGGAGAAAGTTACAAAAAGAAGCTAACCCTGGGAGCACAAGGACAGGCAAGGAAGGTGAAGTGGAGGCTCTCGGGGAGGTAAGGAAAGGAGGCGGCGACCAGCTGGAGTTTCGGGTACAGTGGTTTTATCTCGCAAAAGGAAGCAGAAGTGATGGGTGTGATTACAAAATCCAAGTCACAAAAGGCACTGGGGTGACTTTTGTGTCCTCCTTTCTCTGTCTGGGGTCACCAATCCTGAAGCTAGAGGAGTCCCTTGTCACCAGGGCATTCCTGCAGCCTTAAAAAGAGTTGTGTGTGGGCATCTATAAGCAGATTTCCCTGGCTCAGATCAAGTCTGACCCCACCCTAAGACTATGTAAATATCCTGTTCTTCCTCAAAATTCTGACCGCTAATTATAGCCCTCATTACCAGCGCTTATCTGTAGCACTATACTGTATTTACCTAATAGTGATTTTCTATTTTCATATATTCTGGCTACGTGTTAATTGGAATTCTTCTGTAAGGAAGAACTATTCTTTCTCTCTCATTTCTTTGTTATGTTAATATAATTCATGGATATTTATTTTATTGTAAAGGGGTATTGTACTGATGGACTGGAACCCATGTGAAGCCAGACCAGACATTCTGCAGCAAGAAAGCAGCTTTATTGGGTGGGGGATGTGGGGAAGGGTAGGGGTGGACTGCCTTGTGGTCCAAGAAAGGGTTTTGAAGGGTTGTTTTTTTTGGGGGGGTGGTGCTCTGCAGAAGAGCCAGGTGTGGGCAGCAGAGTGTGAAGCAGTCATCGTTGGGTACCCTCCTGCGCAGGGTGACTTCTGAGGTTGGAACAGTTCTGGGGAGTTTCTTTTCCTGCAACCCAAGCTTTGAACAGGCTGACCCTTTATCCCAGCCTTTGTTTTTAGGACTCAGGTGATGAGGTCTTTTGGCTGCTTCAGGCTGGCTTGGGGTGAAGTGGGAAGGCTGGGCTGGGGATGTAGGGTCACCCTCGGGATCAGCTGTGGGCACCATCTGATAAGAGACATCCGAGAGGAGCATCTGGTTAGAATTCTGGGTGGTGACTTTGTGACCGTGCTGGGGAGATGAGACCTGGCGGGAGCACGGGCATGACGCAGAGGCCTGCGAGGGGGCCAGGAGTGGTGAGAGCTGGGAGAGGAGCTCCAAAGAGGGACTGAAGGGAGGCAGTGAGTGAGGTGGTGCGGGTGAGGGGCTGGAGAGGCTAAGGCTGCCACGGCTGGGACTGAGGGGAGGACGGGGCACTGCGGGTGGGGTCTGAGAGGAGATGTAAGAGCCCTAGGGTGGTCGGGTTACAGGATGAGGGGGTGCTGCGAGGGTCTGAGGGAGGCAATCAGGGTGTGAGGGAAGAGTGAGACATGTATCTTTGGGTCTAATACAGGAGAGTGCGAGGCACACGTAGGAAGGGTTTGGCTCCAGCGGGTGAACTGGCACTATCACATTGTTAATAGCTCTGGGATCTTGGACTAGGCGATAGGAGCCGCTGGGTTTGAGGACAGGGAGAACAGGGTGTCATAAGGTGAGTGAGTGACCTCCAGAAACCCATCAGTTAACAAGCAGCAGATTACAGGTTTGAGCCCCCTGGGTACTGGGGAACGGAAGGGAAGACCGCGGGGCATTTGAGGCAAATTAGCAGCCGAGTAACGCGGGTGGCCCGAGTGGGCCTGGAGGTGTCTCACTTTCTCGCTGTCCCCTCAACAAAAGGTTGAACTCCCATTTTACTTCCCAAGCAGCACCAGACATTCAGACTAAATCCACAAAGTCAGACCTTGGTCCTCAGTCCCCAGGGAGACTGTGGGGGGTAAGCGAGCCAGAGTGTCTGTGATGTCATTACAAGCCGTCTGAACAGAGGCCTGATACTTGCATGTGTTAGGCGGCATGGCAGTGCCCAGTTCCTCAGCTTTATTAGGACTGCTGAATGCGAAGGCAATCTATAGTTTAGGTGGCTATACAATGTGCTTTAAGTATCAACACACAGAATTACCTGTGAACTAAAAAGCTAAATATACTTATAAAACAGAACAGATGGGCTGGGGATTTAGCTCAGTGGCTTGAGTGTCAGCTTGGCAAGCACAAGGTCATGAGTTTGATTCCCAGTATCACAAAAAAAAAAACAGAACACAGAATACCAGAATCCACTTGCAACAGAAAAGACATCAAAATTTCACTTAGAATTCCTACTCTAAATTTCTTTACTGCTCTGATACACAAATTTTAAGCACCAGAGAAAAATTTTAGACTTCAAAGGCAAATAGAAAATTTAAGAAGTTTTTTTTTAAGAAATGAAAATTATATTGACAAAATGCAGATAACCTCTGGTCTCAGATTTGCCTTTCAGAGCCTTGAGAAAGCTAACTCAAGGAAAGCCAAGAAGAGTCTTTACTTGGGTTTACATATCAGTAAGGAGTACTAATCAGTAAGCAGACTAATTCGGAAATCAGGAACAGGGACTTGGAGTCAAGACAATCTGGGTTTGAATCCCCATTCCTCCCTTGACTACATATATGCTCTTAGCTGCTTGTCTGTTTTTTTTTTTTTTTGTACTGGGAATCAAATTAAGGACCTCACACTTCCCAGGCAGGCGCTGTGCCACTGAGCTATAACCCTGGCCTTCTCATCAGAATAACAGGAGACTAAACCTGTCCCTTAAGTTTAGTAAGGATTCTTTAAAAATTTTATCAATTATAAGGCAGAATTTCCTTCTCCAATATATACCAGTCATTATTCTCACCGTGATTAGTGAGTGACACATTTGGAAATACAGCATACAGTCGCAAGCCTATTAAGAGAGAATTCTCCTTGGCTGGAGCAAATGGGGCTAGCCCCCTTCTACACTTCAACTGTACAAAAAAGTTAGAGGCCACAGCGTCTGGAGACAGTGATTCATCCCCTCAAGCCAAGGATACAAAGTGGGTAAAGACAGCAGAAGTGCCTCTGTCCTCTAAGTACCACCAAAGGGCTCGTACAAGTCAAACAGGTGACACTAAGATCACACTACAAAGTCACACAAAAGCTGATAGTCGCTACTTCTTAGACCGTCTTCTTTCCTAGCCCAGTGGTTTTCTTTTCTTTTCTTTTTTTTTTTAATGAGTAATAAATGATTTAAAAATAAGAGTTGGCTTACATTTTTATCTTAGGTATTAAATATTCTAGAGAATTTGATTCACACCTCCTGACCACAATTT